TATTACAACTTTCCTTTAATCAGACTTAGATTAAAACAAAAAAGGTAAAGGCAAAGAGAAAACAGAAAGGCACTATGTTCTTAAAGCACATGTGTCATGGATGGGATTTAGGTTGTTTTTTTGTTTTTGGTACCACAGATTGAACTCTGGGATACTTTATCACTGAGGCACATCCCCATTCCTTTTTATTTATTCATTTTTTAAAAATATTTTTTTAGTTGTAGATGGACACAATGCTTTATTTTGTTTATTTTATTTGGTGCTGGGGATCAAACCCAGGGCCTCATACATACTAGGCAAGTGCTCTACCACTGAGCTACAATCCCGGCCCTTCCTTTTTATTTATTTCAAGACAGTTCCTCATGCTCAGCTGGATGGGGCTTAAGAAGGGGAGATGTGGCATCAAGAATGAAATGAAATAAGCCAAGTGTGGTGGCCTATGCCTGTAATCCCAGCAGCTCAGGAGGTACTGCAAGATGATCACAATTTGTGTTTGAGGTTAGCTTGTGCAACTTAGTAAGACCCTGTCTTAGAACACAAAATAGAAAGAGATAGGGATATAGCTCAGTGGTGAGTGCCCCTGAGTTTAATCCTTAGTACGACACATACACACACACAAGGTTAAATAAAATGTACAGGGAACACTGCTTTGGTGCTCCCATTATGCTAACCTTCAAGGATGACTAGGTGAGGATATGTTTTCAGAATTGAGGCTTTGATTTGTGGGGGTTCTAATCTATCCTCTATGCCAGGGGTTTAGATTTGAAGAAATGTCATGAACTGTGAAAGAATCACAGGAACCTTTTGAGATTCTGCCAGCCTAAATGTAATTCAAATTTACATCTAATCAAATTCACTGAGTGCCAACCATATACCCAATATATTAGGTGCATACTAATATTTGTAGTATTAAGTTACAAATAAGTTTACATAAAGGAGAGGTTGTCCTAACCACTGATAAATGCTAAAGGCAAGGAAAAAAAAATAGGAGAGTGATTTTATAGGATAACAACCTAAAAAAGAGGTCCTTAGACAATATTAATTTCTACTAAAGCATTTATAACAAGGGGAGGCTGGAGAAGAAAGATCCAAGTTTGTGGTTAGCCTGAGGCACTTAGTGAGACCCTGTGTCAAAAAAAAAAAAAAAAAAAAAAAAAGAGCTGGGGGATGGTAAAGAGCACCACTCCTGGGTTCATTCCCTACTGCTACATGATTGAGTAAACAAAACAAGACAAAAAAAAAAAAAAAAACCCAAAAGCACTTTTGACAAACTACCCAACAGTATATTGGAGTTAACCTTGGGATAGAACAAGTTCTAAGCTTAATGATGAGATTTAAGTTCTGAAATTCAGTTGCTAAGGATGGAATTTTCTAAAATTCATATTTCAGTCAAGTGCCTATAATCTTAGGGACCAGGGAGGCTGAAGCAGGAGGATCGCAAATTCCGGGCAGCACCAGCAGTTTAAAGAGACCCTGATGAGGAGTGCAGCTCAGTGGGAGAAGGCCCCTGGGTTTAATTCTCAGTAACATGCACACATCGAATTTCAAGAATAGACACTAAATCACTAAAGAGTTTCCAACTAAATGTCAATACCATTCACCATTTTGATTTAATTCAGGTTGTTTTAGGGATGAAAATGAGTTTTTAATTAGCTTGGCAGTGACAGTTTAATCCCTTTTCTCTCTCTCTCTTTTTTTTTTTTTTTTTGCAGTACTGGAGGATTTAACCCAGGGGCACTCTATCATTGAGCTATATATCCAGGCCTTTTCTTTATTTTATTTTCTGTTTTTAGACAATCTCCCTAAGTTGCCCAGGCTGCTCTTTTTTGTTGTCACTGTTGTTTTGGGTGGGAGTACTGGGGATTGATTTCAGGAGCAGGGTCTCACTGAGTTGCTTAATGCTTTACTGTTGCTGAGGCTGGCTTTGAACTCACGATCCTCCTGCCTTAGCCTCCTGAGCTGCTGGGATTACAGGCATGTGCCACTGTGCCCCAGCCCCAGGCTTATCTTGAATTTAGGATCCTCCTACCTCAGCCCCTTGTCACTGGGATTACAGGGGTATACCACTAAACCTAGCCCTTTTTTCTGTTATAGTGTAGATCTAGAATGCCCTCCAAAGTCTTGTGTTGAAAGCTTGTTAACAAGTGCTACAATGTTCAGAAGTGGAGCTGTGGGGAAGTGACTGCATCATGAGGGATCTCACCTCTTCAATGGTCTAATTCATTGATAGCTGAATGGACTACTGGAAACTGCAGGCAGAAGGGAATGTTGGAAGAAGTTAAGACTTGGAACTGTGCACTGGAAGAGTATGTATTGTCCCTAGATTCCTCTTCCCTTCCCTCCCTCCCTGTTTCCTGACTGTCATGAGGCGAGCAGCTTTCTATCACTGCAGTTTTCTGCCATGATGTAGAATGCTCTAAGTAGAGCAAATTGGGCAATTCTGGGGAGAGCTCAGTAGAATAGAATGCCAACAGGAATGGGGACTGAATTCATGAGATGTCAAAGAGAATTGGACTAGAGGTCACTTGTGTTATATTCTAGCAAAGAATTTGGCCACATTTTGCCCATATCCTGAGACTTTATGAGGCCGAATTTAAAAGTGATGGACTGATTAATCTGCTGGAGGAAATTTCAAGGAAGCGCAGCATTCAGTCAGTGGCATGGATATTGCTAGCGGCTTTACTATGAGAAAGTGGAGCAAAGAACACAGCTAAAGGATTTAAAAATTTCAGCTTGGCCAGAAAAGTACATATAAAGTTGGGGCCAAGGAAGGGTGCTTTAGGAGTTTATAGTTCCTAAAGAGACGCTAAGTACTTGTACAGACAATAGGAAAAATGGTGGTGGCTAGGAAGTTGAATGAAGTTCCCTTCATTCAGCACTATGGGTACTCAGAAGCCCCTGCTTCCAGGGGGCCAAGGAATTATGCAAGCTGGAAGCAGACTTTGGTATCATCCAAATGGTGCTGGTTCTGCAGGAATGCAAGATGCTAAAGTTAAAAGTGATCAGGGAAGCTTCCACCAAAATTTCAAAGGAAGATCTGAGAGGCCAAAGTATAGCAGGGTCTGAGTCCTTGAGGGCTGCCCTTTCTCCGAGACAGTGATGTGTGAAGTTATATAGGTGAAATCAAAGTTGGAATGGAGACCYCAGAAATTAAGAGATGCCAGTAATATGGATTGTCTGCTGAGAAATGCTGCTGGCTGTAGAAAGGCCCATACTGAAGGTGCATGTGCACCACAACTTGCAAGGCCAAAGGGGCAGGAATACCCATACCCTTTGTAAATGATATTTCACAGCCAAGTGTCCTACATGATCTACACAGACATAGGAAACCAAGGCCAGCAGTTGTTGTGGTCCTGTTTTGGCACCATCCCTTCTTTCTATGCTTTTATTCCTCCTTTTCAGAATGGGAATATTACTTTGTGCCACTATATATTGAATATATGGAACTTGCTTTTGGTTTTTACAAGAACTCACTGCCAGGAGTTAGCCTTGAGTCTCAGAGAAGACTTTGAATTTGGACATTTGGGCAATGTTAAAAGATTATGAAATTCTTGGAAATAAACTGAATGCATTTTGCATAGTGAGATGGACATGAGGTTTTGGGGGTCAGAGGCAGAATGTTATGGTTTGGATATAATGGCAACTGAAAACTAATGCGTTGAGGCAAGACTATTCAGAGGTGACATGATTAGCTATTGGGAGCTATAACCTAATTAATCCCTTCTAGTTTGGATAGACTGACTGGGTGGTTAACTGTAGGTAGGTGGGACATGACTAGAGGTGGTGGGTCACTGGGGACATGCCTGGGAAAGGTTCATCTTCCCTGTGGCCTCTTCATCTCTTTCTCTGCTTCCTGACCCCATCATAAGCTGAGCAGCTTTCCTCCACTGGGTCCGTCTCCCATGATGTTCTGCCTCACCTTGGGCCTAGAGCCATAGGGTCAGCCTCTATGGACAGACCTCTGAAATTGTAAGCCCCAAATAAACTTTTCCTCTTCAAAGTTGTTCTTGCTGGGTATTTTAGTCAGAGCAATGAAAAAGCTAATTAAAACTGATTATGCTTGGGATTGGTTCTTAAAAAACAACAACAACAACAACAAAAAGCAACAAAATAACAAACCTCAAGAAAAACAAAAAACAAATGCCCCTTCCCACCAAGTCAAACTTTAAACAATGTTTCTGTTGGAAATTCTGCAAAAGGCTGCTTGGGTGTGCTAGCTATGATTAGAGATGATTGTATCATAGAAAAAAAAAACAAAAACAAAACCTCAATTTATAAACTCAGTTTACAAACACTCAGGACTTTTTAGATTTGGTAATCCCAAGAGACTCTCCTGAAATTCTAAGGCTAAGGGTTAATAATTTAAAAAAATTTTTTTTTTTTTTAGTTGTTGACAGTCCTTTATTTATTTTACGTGGTGCTGAGAATCGAACCCAGTGCCTCACACATGCCAGGCAAGTGCACTACCACTAAGCTCAGCTCCAGCCCCTAAGGGTTAATAATTTTGCCAATCATTTTTCTTATTCAATTTATCTAAATTTAGATGACATTTCAGCTATGAAAGGGATGCTTTCTTACAACCTTTCCGCAAGTGCTTTTTGTTGAAATGACTTGAATTTTATTTTTACTGAAATGGGTGGGTGAGTTCAGTTACCACCTTCAGGAAATTATCCTAAATCCCCTAAAATTCACAATGTATTTTTTTCTTCATGCAATTAATTTTAACTTATTTAAAGAATTTTTTTGGTTGCATAATATGTAAAAAAGGAGTACCTATCTTTTCTGTAAAACATCCATTTCATTAAGAATAAGATACCTACAGAAATAAAGGTCACTCTTTATGTTCCTAAACATAGTTAATATTAAGAAATTAATATTTCTTGTTATAATAATAAAGAGTGATCCTAAAGACACCACAACTAATAGCAGAGCAAAGAAAAAAAAGAACTGCATAATATTTCAAAGACTCCTACCAGGAAAAAAAAAAAAAATCTACTTACGGCAGTGGCTCGAGAGAGTTCTCGACATGTACTAAGCAGTCCATTTTGCAAATCATCCCTCTGTAATACCACTGTCTGAATGGCTGCTGGGTTATCTGCGTTCATTTCTATCTCTTGACTGGCTGACAGCAAAGCTTGCTCAAGCGTGTACTAATAAAAAGAATCACACTTAATGTTCTGCATCATTGAATTAGCTTTCTTTTTTTTTACTCATTACTGTCTTGATAATAATCACATCAAATAACATTGATTGTAGATAATAAACATAACTGTCTTACTTTCTCCTTGTGGAGTTGCTGAAGTTTCTCTTCCAGTGCATGTACCACTTTATCTTGTTCACATAATCGGCTTAACTTGGCCTGAGTTGTAAGAGATGTCTTTTGTTAGAGAAATTTAAAAATGTTTCATGTAATTAGCTGAAGGTGGGTACCCATTTAAAGCAGCCATGAAATGCTAAATTGGGTTAATTTTCTTTAAGTAAATACAATCAAAATTAAAATACAGTTTATAAAAATAGAATAATATGTTGGGTGTGCTGGCACATGCCTGTAGTGTCAGCAACTAGGAGGCTGAGATAGGAGGCTCATAAGTTCAAGTCTAGGCCCTGTCTCAAAATAAAAAACAAAAAGGGCTGGGAATGAAGTTCAATGGTAAAGTACCCCTGGGTTAAATCCCCAGTATTACAACGAAACAAATCATGCAAAGTAAAGTAGACAAGTATTTCAATCATACTAAACTTAAATATTTCTCTTTTCTTCCTTCCACAGTATATGGATTGAAGTTACTTTACCACTGAGCTACATCCACACCCCTTTTCATTTTTTTTCTTTTGAGACAGGGTCTTCTCAATTGTAGAGGCTAGCCTTGAATTTTCGATCCTCCTGAGTAACTGGGATTGCAAGACTGAACCCAGTGCCTGTCTAATTTACACATTTCAAACTATCTTTGGTAATCAAGCAGTCTAAAAATTCTAACTCTCCACCAAAAAAAACACACACTATAATCTGACCTATAGGGTAAGGGATATATACAGTTCTTAAATGTAATAATACAAGTAAAAATATTGTTTATGAAGAAAAATTACTTTTAGTAGTTTGTTTTTTTGGGGGGGAAGTGGGAATAGAATCCAGAACCTCAGGCATGCTAAGCATGTACTCTACCACTAAGCTACATCCCCAGGTTTAAACTTATTATTTTTAAATTTTTTATTTTATGTATGTATGTACATATGTATGTATTTATTTTCGCAACACTGGGGATTGAACCCAGGGTTCTCTACTACTAAGCTACATCCCCAACCCTTCTTTTTTTTTACTTTTTATTTTGAGAAAGGGTCCTGATAAGTTGTTCAGGCTGTTCTTCAACATATGATCCTCTTGCCTCAGCCTCCTGAGTTGCTGGGATTACAGGCATTGCACCACCATACATTGTAGTTTAAATCTTTTAAATCAATTTAATGATAATATGAGAAAGTACTCTACAGTACAATAAATCGATTCTCCTAATGTCTCAAAACAAATGTGGATAATCAGGAAATATGGCCCAAAGTTTATAGTATAATGACAAGTAAGCAAGAAATTTGATACTTGACCTTCTTTGTCCTTTATCTATTAAAATAACTACCTTATCTTTATTAGACAAGACTCAAGCTATACCAAATAGAAGGTATTAAAATGAAAAGGAGACAAACTCAATGGAATAAAACCAGGAGAAGTGAGGGAAAATTACATGGCAAATCAGCAACCTAGACTATGATTTAACAGAGACAAAATATAATTTAAAAAGGAACAGCCATGAAACTTCCAGAGGCTAATACTTTCTCTAGAAGATAGTAATTCTCCCGTTTTGCACACCTGTGTTTTAAGAAAATCAGTAATTATTTTAAAATTTTCATTTAAGTGATCCTTAATATGTTCAACTACTACCTATCAGGGGATAGTGGGTAGTAGGCAGCAGTAATGTAAGTGCAACAGAGAAATAATACTGATTTGTTTAATGTTATTTTAGAGAACCTGGGAAGAAGAAGGTTTTGCATCATGCTTATTTCCAATATTTTGGCACAGAATATGACACAGAATCAGTATATATCATAGTAATACTTACATCAATATCTATTTCTTCAGGTCTGTATTTATATAATGTGCCTCTACATTCATCTTGTGATAGCTGTAAGAAAAAAACACCATATACAAACTTAAAAATCATACAAAAATATATTTAGTCTATAGCTAATACTTTATATTTAAGTTAAATATATAACAGTATGACAAAAGTGGGATTTTAATGATTCTTATACTTTTATAAGTTTAATTCAAACACTAGACTATTACAGTAGTAGAAAAATACTTAACAGAATGATGCTAACTTAAGTTTGTCAAACAATCAGCTGGCCAAACAAAATTAATACAGCAACTTACATTTTTCATTTTAAAGACAAACATTATTTTAATGAAAAATTGACAAATACAATCATATTAACTGTATCAAATCAAATATTCAAAACAGGCATAGTAAAACAGTCAAAAGCATCCTTCACAGTATACACATAATCACACAGTGTATGTGTACTGTACACTCAATGCCAACACATCTGAGTACAACTTTAGTAACAAAGTCTATAACATATTTTATACATATACATAATATATAAGCACACATACACAATATAGACTTATCTTGTTCTTCTGTCTTAAGAACTAAAAGATAATGGAGGAAAAGGATGGGTTTAATTGAAGACAAAATCACTTAAGATCTCACAATACTGAAAGTGTATGTTACAAACAGTGGATAATCAAATTTAAAAAAGTTTATATGTGTTGGTTGATACCATTTGTATTATTATATTGTAAGAAATTATTAGTTTATATAAATATCCTTTGTTCAGCTTCTTCTAAGTATCTTTTGGTAACACAAAACCTCATTTATGATTTTGCTTATCAAGATTTTAATACTCTTCTCAAGACAGTTCTACCAGAAATCACACCATACCCTCTGTAGGCAATATTTCAATATCTTTCTTGTCTTTTGAATTTATATTGACAGCTAGACAGTAATAAAAACATAGGAAAAATTTAACTGTGGCTCACTTTTTCTCAAGAAGGTGACAGAAATAATATGACCCAAGTATGATCTAGTTTGGAAAATAAATTTCATATGTACCTATATAGATGCATCAGAATGTATAAAAACAATGTATGTCCCCTCTGTAAAAAACTTCTTAATAGTTACATCTTTAAATGTAGGCATAATTTAAGCAGCAGATAACTCTGAATGGGTCCAGAATGTGGGGATCAGAAGGTAAAAAAATATAATCATTCCAAACACAGAATAAATCCTAGATTTACATGTTTCATTTCAAGACATTACTTTCACATACCTCATGCAAATGAACCTGCGACTATTTAAGGATATGCACAGTGATTGTTAAAGCACAAAACTTCCATAGAAAAGAACATTACATGAAAAATGAATTTAATGGCAAAAATGAGAATACTTGCATACTATTTTAAATAAAGATCATCCAATAATGTCCCAATAAGTGTCAATTGTTGTTCTAAATTAAAGCACCTAGTCTCAAGAAAAGAATTTATACCTCTACCTAAAAAAAATTAATTAAAAAATAAGTTTGATCTTTAATTTCTTATTAATATAAAAAATGTAATTTTGGCCATCTCACTTTTTATCATGAATTTAAGCATCTTAAAAGGCCTTAAGCTATTATGATGTCCTAATATACTATTAAATTTAAAGTTAAATGTTAAACAGCTTTACTCTATGGAATTTGAACATAACAAATGACCAATGCTATCTCTAGGTTAAAATATGAATTGTATTCTGTACCCCAGAATGAAAAGAAAAAAAAAACACTATTAAAATGGAAATTTATTAATTTGTAGCAAATAGTATTTAGGAAATTGGTATACTATTCTTTTTTGCAGTGTTGGGATCCAATGCAAGGCATCACACATGCTAGACAGTTGCTCAACCACTGAGCTGCATCCCCAGCACTTTTTGTTTTGAGAAAGGATCTCACTAAGTTGCCCAGGCTGGCATCAAATTTGCGGTCTTCCTGCCTCAGTCTCCAGAGGTGGTTGGGATTAGAAGTGTAAACCACAAAGCTCAGCTTGTTATAGTAATTTTATTTAAGGAATCTTACTGAAGATTCATTTTCTTATCAGTTGGCAAGTAATATAAAAAAAGTCTGCTGTGCATTTACCACTTCTGAGTGAAATGTCCTTATAGCCATATAAATACATTACACATAAAACATCAAATATATTTTTCCTTGTACCTCTATTTTTAGTACTAATGAAAAATTTCCTTAAACATTTTATTAATTTATCCCATAAAGGTATTTATTAGATACCAATTAAAAATAAGTCCTTAAACCAATCAACCTTCAACTATATACTATTTTCACACATTAGAAGAAAAGCATAAGAAAATAAGATTATTCTTTAAAAAGTTAACTTCTGTCAGGCATAGTATGTATGCATGTTATACCAGCTACTCTGGAAGCTGAAGCATGAGGATCACAAGTTTGAGCACGGCCTTAGCAACATAGCAGGACCCTATCTCAAAACAATATAACAACAACAAAACAAAAATTTTTAAAGTATGATATATTTTCCATTCCTGATAATAATTGCTTACCCTTTCCTTAAGAAAAGATGGGGTATAACTTATGAAACTAGCAACCAAATTTTCCTCAATACAATTTTTTTAACTAGTAAGAGAAATATAAATTTCATGAGCATTCTGATTAATATTTCTCTTAAGTTTTGCATATTTGAGTTATGATAATGTTTTATAATTTTTCTTTTACTATGCTGGAGGGTTGAACCTAGGGCCTTATACACACTAGGCAAGCAGTCTAATACTGAGCTACACTCCCAGCCCCATTTTATTGTATTTCAAATTCCTCTTTGGCAAGAAAAAAAGGGTTTGGTTTGAATATGTTGTTTAAAGTGCCTTAGAAGCATCAGACAAGCAAATGAGGGAAAAGGGGGGCTATATAGTAATTAAATAAATCTGAATAGCACGCAAACTTCTTTCAAATTTGAAAAGTGGGCTAGATGTGTTGGTGCATGCACGTAATCTTAGTGACTGGGAACGTTGTGGCAAAATGACTGCAATTTCAAGTTCAGCATCACCAAGTTGGGGAGTTCTATAGCACTTGGTGAGATCCCATCTCAAAAAAAAAAATAAATAAATAAAAAGGGCTAGGGATGAGGCTCAGTGTTCAATCTCCAGTACTGGGGGACAAGGGTGGGTGTATCATATATAGACTTTATTGACTCTATAAGGATATGTGAGAATATACTTTATCTAGAAAGGCAGAATCCTGTCATAATAAATAAGTATCTAAATATTTATTTAGTTTTTTTTCTTATTTTTTTTCACTGTTCTAGGGATCAAACTTAGGGTACTATGCATGCTAAGCAGGTGTTCTAACACTGAATTATATTCCAAGCCCTTCCAATGTATGTATTTTTTAAAAACTGGCTTGGCATTAAGTTCAAACAAAATTATTTATGTTAATTAAAATTCAACTTTCTTCAATATCCCTTACATTTGTGAAACACACCCACACACAGTATATGAATCAGTATATGAATATACATACAAACTCCAAGAAGGATTTTATGGGAAACATTTTTAAATTAAATTTTAAAAAATTAGACATTATACTCACTAAAAGCTAAAAACTGTTTACATGACTATAGGTGTTTGCTGATACATCTATAATCTTTTAAAACACTTATTCATCAGGGGAGTAACTTCGTTGATATTAATCATGTTATAAAAATGAGGGTAGAAAAATCTAACTAGAATCTAACTAGAATGATTGATAAATGCAGAAGATTTTTTTTCAACTTGATGCTAAGTCATTTAGCATTCACTTTTAAGTCCTTTTTATTTGGCTTTTTTAAAAAAATGACTGCTTATGTAATTTCTCAGTATTTCCTAAGGAAAAAAATGAAAATATAAAGGTCTTTCTGAGGAAAACACTGAGTGGTCCATGATTTGGAAAACAGACCACAAAATATGTTGCCACAGTATTCCCAGTTAAATATCAGGAATCTATCAAAACAACATTGTAATGCAATCTCAGAAAAGCAAATTGTAACAGCAATATAAACTTTCATGAAGGTTTTTTAGGACAAGTTATAAGTGACAAGAAAATTTTGGAGGAAAAACATAAGATCTAATTTCAATTTGTGCAAATTTATGAACAGAGCTTAAGAAGTGTGTCACTTTTCCCCATTAAAGATGCCCTACAATAAGTGTCATTTTACTAGTTGCTGATTAAAAATAACAGTCTGTAGAGTCCCTAACCTTGACAGTTAACACTGATTTCCTGATTGATTAGCCATGCCTAGGCATGGCTGCTGATTTAAGGTATTTGGGTCTTCTTGTTTTCTGCAATCCTAGTTCTTTCCTTTCAAGCATTAATATGAACATGTGTATTTTATACAAACCCATTGCTCTTTTAGTATTCAAGGTATGTGATGCTTTCAGATATCTCAGACATCTCCATATTTTTGAAAAACTTCAATTAGAACTTTTAGTGCAGTGGAGTAACTTAAATCATTAATGACTTTTACATCATCAACCTTGAATATTGATAAATACAAAATGGAAAAAATAAACAAGCCAAACAAAATCCAATCTTTTTGTTCTTTTCTAAAATATGCAAAATGTGAACATGAAAATATTACCTACTGGGCTGGAGATGTAGCTCAGTGGTAGAACATTTGACTACCATGTGCTAGGTCCTGAGTTTGATCCCCAGCACAGTGGGAAAAAAAAAATTACCTATTTAAAAAAACACCTTTTGATCACATATCAATTTAATGCTAAAATATATCATTTTATAGAATGCATTGGATGTACTGGCCTACATTTATAATTTCAGTGACTTGGGACACTGAGGCAGGAGGACCACAGACTTGAAGCCAAACAGCAACTTAGTGAGAGCCTAAATTGCCTATTTTTTTAATTCTTATTTTTTTTGGTACCAGGGATTGAATCCAGGGGCACTTAACCATCGAGCCACATCCCCAGCCCCTTTTTTTTGTATTTTTATTTAAAGACAGGGTGTCACTGAGTTGCTTAGGACCTCGTTAAGTTGTTGAGGCTAGCTTTGAATTTATAGTCCTCCT